TCACTCATTGGAAGAGGATGACATTGGAATAACAAATGAAAGCGCAGCAAATTTCGCGCGACTGGCGCGTTGCTGGCGAGCGGGTGTGGGGCTTGTTAGTTCCCGGGGCCAGAGTCACAGCGTGGGCTGGAGAATGCGTGGAAAGAGGGAGCTCGGCAAGGGCAGGAGGAGCTGTTAGAGGAGGAATCAAGTAAACACGGCGGTGATTTTCAATATTATTACCCAAACACGATTTCCCACGAAGCAATCACGACGCACGAGTCTATGGAAATGTGGTTTGCTGAAAAGATGGTCACTCTGAACCAACATTTCAATTGGAAAGAACGGGAATACTTCTAGTTCAATGTAAGCAGCGTCCTTCTACAGGGTGATTGCTTACTGTGCTTTTATTTCCATGGGGTTTGCAAAATAAAGAGAAAAAGGACTCTCTCCCTTTCTCCAGATTTCCTTGCTACTCAATCTCCCACCCCCTCGCGAGATCCCCTATTTGTCCAGCGCTCTAGACAATGAACCCAAATACTAGACAAGGGAACAGCGCGTTCCCGGTGCCTTCGGCTCCGCAGGATGATCAATAAGGGACTGTGCAGATTTTTTCCCGCAAGGAATTTTCCATCGCTTGGAAGGCGCTGAAGGCTCTGGCCATCTCATTTTTAAAAAAGAAAAGGGTAGTAGTATGTTCATAGGTATGCGCTGCGACGCCGGGGTAAGATAGCCCACAATTTCTCTAAGCAGCCAAACAATTTCATTCCGGAATGAATGCCGAGCGTATTCGGTGTCCAGGTTTTGCGCATTCCTCAAACCTAAATCCCCGCGTCCGCCCCGGATTTTTATCCTTGACTGTGCCATCATCCGCACAGTTCCAAACACCGAGAGGACGAGATTACCAGCGCAATCCGAGGGGTGTCTACTCAGAAGTAAGCCCCGTGGAGAGTTCAATGGAACTTGGGTCGTATCCGCGCTAGACCTTATAGGAATCAGGGCTATCGCGCGTAATAGCAGCGCACGCAGACGAGAAATGGGGAGTTTTACAACGTTGTGACAAATAAGTCTGAGGGACAATGGCTTAAGGGGGAGCAAAGAGTTTAGATGCTTAATGCATGTCATGACTTTGGGCATGTTCCCTTCCGAAAGATTATAATAAAACCAGAAACTCTGCGACCTTTACTTCGAAGTCACCCGCTGAAGGAACCTCTTATGTAAATAGAAGGATGACTGAAGGTTTTAAAATCCCCCAGCAAAGCGGATTACTGGGAGGAATCAGAGTCCTACCTGGTGCGGATCGGTATCCACAAGCAGGTAAGGGCCCCAGATTTGGTGTAAACCCATCAGATCGATTTACATCCTGCTTAAAGGCCGGACTTTGACAACGGGCTCATGGACGCGTCTGTCTTGACACGGTGGATTCAGTTCGACGTTAGAGTCGTTCTGAATTCACACCCGTGCGCGCCCGCGAAGTCTTCCCCAAGCACACTGGCTAGCTAAATCCACACAAAATGCTAAAAAACAACATCACCCAGCGTGTCGAATGAGTTTTGGAAAAAAATCTGATAAAAATAATTGGCACACGAATCATTTTAAGACGTTCAACTGAGTCGTGGGTCCACGTCGGAGGCAGTATGCTTTTGAATAACACTTGCCGGGAATCACAAGAGGGGAGCGTGCTCTTGCGCTCAGATCCTGCTTTTGGGCTTCCCATAGCAGGCAGAGAATTATAGAATCATAGCCTCATGGAGTTGGAAGGGACCACGAGGGTCACCTAGTCCAACCCCCTGCAATGCAGGAATATTTCCCCCGAAGTGGGGCTCGAACTCACAATCCTGGGGTTAAGCAGCTCATGCTCTACTGACTGAGCTATCCCAGCATCATCTGGTTGGTTACTAGAGCACAGGGTGTTAGACATGGGCCTTTGGCCTGGTCCAGCTCTTGTTACCTACTTATAGTAACCCAGACACTGATGCTTAGAAAAGACCCCAACTGATTTCACTAGAACTGGTTTCCAATAAATTGTCCCTAAAGACAGCATTTAAAACTGGCTGAGGTTCAAATACTCTGGATTAACTGGTAGTCTCCCCTGGTGCACAGTTTGGGGTCAGGAGGCTGTGCAAGATGGTGCCATTGACTAGTTTCGATTCTCAGATTAAATTATTATTATTATTTATTGAGTTTAAAAACCGCCATATACCTGGGGGCCTCAGGGCGGTTCACAGAATAAAATCAAGAAATAAAAATAAAAACAACAACCCAATAGCTCCCCCCCCCAAAAAAAAACATTTTAAAAGGGCATAGGATGTAAATCAGATCAACCAAAGACCAAGGTAAAAAGGAACATTTTTGTCTGGTGCCTAAAGGTGTACAGTGGTACCTCGGTTTAAGAACTTAATTCGTTCTGGAGAACTGTTCTTAACCTGAAGCACCACTTTAGCTAATGGGGCCTCCCACTGCTGCTGCGCTGCCAGAGCACAATTTCTGTTCTCATCCTGAAGCAAAGTTCTTAACCCGAGGTACTATTTCTGGGTTAGCGGAGTCTGTAACCTGAAGTGTATGTAACCTGAAGCGTATGTAACCTGAGGTACCACTGTATAATGAAGGTGCCAGGAAAACTTCCCTGGGGAGAGCATTCCACAAACAGGGAGCCACTGCAGAGGAGGCCCATTCTTGTGTTGCCACACTCCGGACCTCTCAAGGAGGAGGCACACGAAGAAGGGCTTCAGAAGATGATCTCAGGGTCCAGGCAGGTTCATATGGAAAGAGGCGGTCCTTGAGGTATTGCGGTCCTGAGCCGTTTAAGGCTTGCTTATGGAGATCCAGGTTTTTAAAAAAGGAGAGGAAGGGAATGCTACACTACAAGGTACCAGAGGTACCAGAAAGAGAATCTGAAGTGATCCAGAGGTCCAACACCTTTCTTGCTAAAACATTTGGGATCTTTTTGTTTAGAAGGAGGTGGGGGAAAGCTTGTGGGGAGGGACAAATAACATTCTCAAGCGTGTAGAGCAGGGGTCAGCAAACTTTTTCAGCAGGGGGCCGGTCCACTGTCCCTTAGACCTTGTGGGGGGCCGGACTATTTTTTTTTGGGGGGAGGAATGAACGAATTCCTATGCCCCACAAATAACCCAGAGATGCATTTTAAATAAAAGGACACATTCTACTCATGTAAAAACACGCTGATTCCCAGACCATCCGCGGGCTGGATTTAGAAGGCGATTGGGCCAGATCCGGCCCCCGGGCCTTAATTTGCCCCATAATACTGGAACATGAGTCCACCAGCTGAAAACAGTGCAGAAAAACCAAAGTCCAAACCGTAGTTAACTGTTAATGCAAGGATTCGCTGTCACAATATGTCCCAATGGCTACTAGATTGGCCTTGTGAAAGCACTAAAATAAATTTATAGAGGATAGGTCTAACAAGACCTTCTTTTCAAAGGAGCCCAGGGCAGCAACAACAAAGTGATGGAACAATACAATTAAAATATGAAATAAAAATAATTTAAAAACAGTTAACAGCATCTAAAAACATTTTATAATACAATCACAGCATCAAATGTCATAGTTGCCAGGGATGGTATATTTCAGACATCAAATGCCTAGGCAAACAGGAATGTTGATAATGAGGAAGACAGTAGCACCTCACCAAGGAGGGCATTCCACAAATGGGGGGGCCCATCACCAAGAAGGCCCTGTCATAGGTCAGCACCAACCTGGCAGCACCTAGTGGCAGCACCACCAACAACAGGGTTTTCCCTGCCAATCATACATGCTGAAATGGTTGGTATTAGGGAAGGTGTGGTTTAGGTACTTGGGTCCCGAGACATTTAGGGCTTTGTGTGCTAGGGCAATTGGGCCTGGCAGTTCACAGGCAGTGAATGCGGCACTTTTGGGACTGGTGGAACATGATCTCACCAGGCTGCCTCCCGTCAATGTAGCAGATGCATTTTGCACTAGCTGCAGCTTCTGGACCATCTGCCCGGGCAGCCCCATGTAGAGCAAAGTGAAGTAGTCCAGCTTGGAAATCACGATTTATTATTTGTTCAAATTACATCCAGCCTTTCCTCTCAAAGGAGCCCAGGGAGGCACTAGGGCATCCGAGGCCAGACTATTCTGGTGCAGACATGACCATATAGACTTCTAGATACCAAATGCTGCTGCTTTCAGGCTCTGTTTGTAGGGTTTCCAAAGACCTGGTCCCTAGTGTGAACAAGACGCTGCACCAGATGGACCTTTGGTCTGATCCAGCAGGGCTTTCCTTGTGTTCCTTAAGTGCCATCATGCGTGTGGCACTTAATGTATGGGTAAAGATATGATAACTAATTATTACTGCTGTTGTTATGAGCTATCTTATACACTATATCAGGGGTCAGCAAACTTTTTCAGCAGGAGCCCAGTCCACTGTGCCTCAGACCTTATGGGTGGGCAGATTATATTTTGAAAAAAAATATGAATGAATTCCTATGCCCCACAAATAACCCAGAGACGCATTTTAAATAAAAGCACACATTCTACTCATGTAAAAACAGCAGGCAGGCCCCACAAATAACCCAGAGATGCATTTTCAATAAAAGGACACATTCTACTCATGTAAAAACACGCTGATTCCTGGACCGTCTGCGGGCTGGATTGAGAAGGCGATTGGGCCGGATCCGGCCCTTGGGCCTTAGTTTGCCTACCCATGCACTAGATCAATACTTAATGAAGGGCTCATTGAAAGTTCAACGCGCTTAGTATAGAGAACATCTCAGCCTCCCCGTAAATATTATTATTGCTCCCTTTGTTTGCAGATGTTCCAGTGCAACTAACAATGCCCTCTTCCCTGATTTCTCAAAGTTCAGGAAGTCTTTACCTGTGTCCTTTCAAAAGACGCCTAGTGCTGGATCCAGTCCTCCATGGGCACAGTGCCCGCATGCAGAAGGGCCCCTGTGGGGCTCAAGAAAACAATGTTTTCCCCATCCCACTGGCACTCACTGCCATGATTGGGAAAGGGAAGCCCATGTGCACCTACCCAGCCTTTCCTTTCCATAGCTCAGTTGGTAGAGCATGAGTCTCATAATCTCAGGTTCGTGGGTTCGAAACCCATATTGGACAAAAAGATTCCTGCATTGCAGAGGTTGGACTAGAGGACGCTTGTGATGCCTTTACAATTCTATGAATGCAGGAAGATGGAGCAAGTTTATTTTCTCCTGCTCTGGAGCGTAGGACTCGAACCAACGGCTTCAAGTTACAAGAAAGGAGATCCTGACTAAACATCAGGGAAAACTTTCTGACAGTAAGAGCTGTTTGACAGTGGAACGGTCCCCCTTGGGAGGTTATGGACTCTTCTTGCTTGGAGGTTTTTAAGCAGAGGTTGGGTGGCCATCTGTCATGGATGCTGTAGCTGAGATTCCTGCATTGCAGGGGGTTGGACTAGATGACCCTTAGGGTCCCTTCCAACTCTACAATTCTATGATTCTCAGTGCCGACAATCCTCCTCGTAAAGACCTGACATACAGAGTGTCTGTTGGTGTGGGTGGAGAGCAAGAAAATACAGCTCTGAAATGCCCTGTAGGGATCCCTCCATGTATGGGCATTGTGCCCACAGAGAACTGCTTCAAGTCCCCTATAGTATGGTCGGATTTATTTCCTGAATAAACTTCTCTTGAACTGATCAGGAAAGTCAAGTCCATTTTGAAAACACACAGCAAAAGAAAAGAACAGAAAAAGCCCATTCCTCAACCCTTCCCTCGAACAATATCGGCTTCTAAAGTTTTCATTCATATAAACCTTATTAATGAAGATCTTTGCCTGAAATGTCAAGGGGGATTTGAAATTTCAAGTAAATTACGAAGCTTGCATGTCTCTGCCAAGTCATGGGTCAAATGCATTTGTGGGGGGGAAACTGCTAAAAAAGAGCATATGGTTTGGAATTTTTCTACAATGACTAGTGTTTAAATAAATTGCTTGTACTGCTTAACTTCATGTATAATTTTGACAGAAATTGGCCTATAGCCTTTTGATATGTAAACATTTCAGCCCTTTTATGCGGTAGAAAAAGACACTTGCTTTTTAGGATCAGCTAAAGCAGTCACCCAGTAATTCAAAAAACTGGCACCTACCATTACAGTCTTTGCTGCATTTCAGCAAGAGAAAGAAAGAGGGAGGGAGGGAGACAAGGGGGGGCATTTCAAAAAGTAATGTCCATTTGGATACAGAGATATATATGAAGGCAAATGAGGTGAGAATGTGTATTTATTCTCTGGCGGAAATGGATGAATCATGGCACTAAAGTGCAGCCACTGTCATTTGCCTGCCTTGTGATAAAGGAAAATTAGAGTGCAGAAACACTTAACATAACATAACACGCGTGCTATTGAATATATGTCTTCCGACAGATCAATCATTGGCAAAGCGTTACAAGGTGTTGGGAGGGGGGGTTAGGGCCGGAAGTTATCATTTCAGCACAGATATCTATTAAAATGTCCTGCTGGGTATATTAATTCAAATTAAAAACTGGCCACCGATAACCTTGCTGTACTGGTTTTACCTGTAAACACAGAGATTGCAAATGACTTTCCCACTGTATTTGTTTTCCAAAACTCCATTTCAAAACAGAGTTCGTTCCCCACCCTGTTGATGGAACGAACATTGAGCATATATGAATGAGGAAGAAGAAGACAGGAAGGTGTCTTATATCTTTATCAGTTCCTTGGTCTATCCAGTTCAGTGCCCTGACTGGTAGAGACCCTCCAAAATTTCAGATGAGATTCTAGGGATTGAACCTGGGACCTTTCGCACTCAGAACATGTGCTTTCCTCTGAGTTATGGCAATCCACAAAGATTCCTGCATGTGAAGGCATTCATTTTCAGTTGATGGGACACCTGCAACTGGGTTATGCCTTGACCTCAGGTGGCTCCTTTAGGGCAGGTACAGGTAACCTTTGGCCCTCCAGTTGTTGCTCGACTTCAACTCCCATTAATCCCAGCCAGCATGGCCGTTAGTCAGGGATGATGGGAGTTGTAGTCCAGCATGACGTGGAGGACCACAAGTTTTCAGTCTAGGCATTTGGGGCATCACTTCAATTTTTTTTTTTACAAGCATTTTCTTTAAGGTGGGGAAGAGATACATGCATTCCTTTATTTAACGCACATCGGTTTTATATCCTGCTTTGTCCCAGCATTTCTGAACACCTTGCAAAAATATTTAAAATGCTGTATTTAAAAAAATAAATCCATAGAAATTAGATTTTAATATATTTTGTTCCATGAACTACATTGGAGAACATATGAACAGCCCTGCTGGACAAAAAGTTGATCTGCTACAGCAGCCCTGGGCAGTGATTCTGAGAACTTTTGCAGTTATTCTTGTTGGTAGTAACCACACTGAGACCTGCGGTTGTAGGGCGGTATATAAATTTAATTAATTAATCAAAAACAACAATAACTTGGACTAGATCTGCCTCTGCAGTCACAGGGCAATAGATAATTGTAACAGATAATTGTAGATGGAATCTTTGCTAGGAATCCTTCTAGCTCATGATTGGGGCCTTGACTCTAGCCAAAATGAAATTCCACATTGATTGGGGGCAGCTATCCTGTTGTCTTCCAGATGTTGTTGGACTGTCACTGATGCTTTAGTTGAGATTCCTGCATTGCAGGGGGTTGGACTAGATGACCCCTGCAGTCCCTTCCAACTCAAACTGTAGAATCTATGACTCCCAGACAGCATGGAGCTGTAGCTCAGGAACATCTGGAGGCCCAAAGGTTGCCCATCCATTACATAATATAAACAATTTACATCAGATCCTATGTTGCTAATATAGTCCAGGGCTGAAAAGACTGAAGTTTCCTGCTTGAAGTGATCTCTTTCCATTGGCTTGATCTACAGTACAATTCTATGCATGTCTATTCAGAACCAATCCAACTTGAGTTCAATGGGATTTACTCCCAAGTAAGCATGTATAGGTCCTGCCAACCTAGCAGTTCGTAAGCACATAAAAGTGCAAGTAGATAAATAGGTACCACTCAGGGGGGAAGGTAAACGGTGTTTCCGTGCGCTGCTCTGGTTCGCCAGAAGCGGCTTAGTCATGCTGGCCACATGACCCGGAAGCTGTACGCCAGCTCCCTCGGCCAATAAAGCGAGATGAGCGCCGCAACCCCAGAGTCGGCCACGACTGGACCTAATGGTCAGGGGTCCCTTTACCTTTACCTTAAGCATGTATAGGAGTGTGTTTAAGCACAAGGATGCCAGACTTAGAGAAACCTCTTCACCATTCAGATCATATCCATGTTTATCAAGAATCTGCCTTTCATGTCCATGGAACTTACTTCCATATTTTTAGGGCTTTACCCTACAAGATCCTCCATTATTTCAGCAGCCTTCATGCCTGTGTAAAGACTGACGAAAGTCAGAGGAAAGATCTCTGTCGTGTTGCATACAGAAAATTATTTGCGTACAGAGAAACATTTGCTTCCTGCTCAATAGGAAAAGGACTGACTTTAAAATAAGGGGTTTACAATCTGGTGGCAACTCCTATTCCCATCACCACCACCACCTCTGACCACCTGTAGAAGAACACAGAAGTCTAAGGAAGATTAGCCATCCTAATAAAATGTGTTCACCTCACTTGCTCATTGTTTTCAGGGGAAGGACCGACTCCTTTCCTAGGTTACCAAATGCAATGAATTTCAAAAGTGCATAAATCCAGTGGGCTACTGAATAAATCCACTTACTGCATGTGCATATATATCTCCTAATGTTGATTGGAGGGAGAAGTCTCACCCTCGTGCTAGACAGAACAGGACTTGGGAGGGTTGCCTGGTGCCAGACGGCTCAATATGTTTATTTCCTGGGGCTAAGCTGAATCTAGGAAGGGGATTGGAAGGAGTGATATAATTGCAATCTGTTACTGTAGTAAAAGAAATGCATATTTATTGTATATGTCAGTTTGTCATGCACAGATTTCTTGAGACACAGTGCACCTTTTGTTAGCTCCTTAAGGCAACCCCCTCCCCACAAACACACGCACACACACACACTCATCAAGATTATAGCAAGAGATGGATGCAAGGCACTTCTATACAGTTCAGATGCAATAGTAATTCCGAATGCATTAATAACAAGGACATATTTCTCAGGGGGGTGAAAACTAATTTAGAAGACAGAATCCCACAAAGGTGTCTGTGAAGGTGGACACCCAGAGGCAAAACGGGTTTAATGCAGGTTCCATGTGTGCTTCAAGTTCAGCATGCTGCGTTTTAGGAGGAAAATTCATATACTGTATTGCCTCTCCCCTTTATTACAAATGTCAACAGTTCCAAGTTGTTATTCTTCTTAAGCTCCACATTATTTTATTTTTTGTTGTTGTTAAAGGTAAAGGTAAAGGTACCCCTGCCCATACGGGCCAGTCGTGTCCGACTCTAGGGTTGCGTGCTCATCTCGCTCAAGAGGCCGGGAGCCGGCGCCATCCGAAGACACTTCCGGGTCACGTGGCCAGCGTGACGAAGCTGCAACTGGTGAGCCAGCACCAGTGCCGCACACGGAAACGCCGTTTACCTTCCCGCTATAAAGCGGTACCTATTTATCTACTTGCACTTAGGGGTGCTTTCGAACTGCTAGGTGGGCAGGAGCTGGGACCGAAAGACAGGAGCTCACCCCTCCGCGGGGATTCGAACCGCCAACCTTACGATCAGCAAGTCCTAGGCACTGAGGTTTTACCCACAGTGCCACCCGCGTCCCACCCGTTGTTATTTACCCGCTATTCACCCCCAAGGTCCTAGGGCATGTGACAACAAATTAAAATATAATATTAAATACCGTTTAAAACAAATTGCAATCACAAGAATAGGCTGGTTGCAACTTTTCTAAAGTTTGGCATCCGTTAATTGAATACATTAAAGTAAAGGAACATAATTGGTAGCTACCCTTTTCTCGTGGATTCCTTTGGAAAAACATTATTGGATATACTTATGAGGAACAATTGTCTGGAATTATAATACTGTTTTTGGAATACTACCACTCCTTTTCTCTAGTCTGAGCCTTCCTTCCTTTTCTTTTTCTATCCTGCTTTGATCTCTTCACTTCCTTCTTTATTGCTGTTGTTATTGCTTTT